TCAAACTTTGAGGGTAAAATTTGTATTCAAGGAGAATGAAATATATATTTTTTAATTATGATAAGTAAAGGGAGTGAAATGTTATGTACACATTTTTTAATATATTTTTATATAATATTACAAATAATTATTAGAAAGTTATTTTAGTAAATGAGTTAATGATAGAGTATTTTGTTAGTAATTTTCTAGGTGATTACTATAGTAAAGTTATGAGTTAGTTTTGTTATTAAGATATTTTTTATTTAAAAATCTTCTTATTAATTAGACATGTTGAATATTATATTAAATTTTATTTTGAAGTTTTGAAAATAGATTTTTCTCGAATTGGATTATCGGAGATTCTTCCCTCGAAGTGGACTCTTTATTTCATATTATATTTTACTTTTATTTTCTAGATCTTCGGAAAGTGTGCAAGTAACAGAGGTGGGGTGGGTGGCTTTGTTTCAAAATAGCAACTGCAAAGTGGTAGATTAAGGTTGTGAGTTAGTAGTTAGTTTTCGGGGGGTTCTATTTCTAGGGGAGTTTGGCTGGTGATTTGGAGGATGATGCTTGGGGAGTTTTGGTTTGGGGGTGGATTTGTGTGGTGGTTTTAGTGAATGATTTTTGTATGACAAATTTGAGCAACGATCTAGGGACTAACTTGTTTGTGGTTGATTGTGACATTGTTTTCAGAAAAAAAAAAGGATAGAGGACCGCTTCTTTATGTCTCTCCTCTTATTTGTATTTCAGATGATAAGGGGTGAATTGAGGAACGTGACTTGAGTGTGATGATGGCAATGCAGTGGTGGTGATGGTGGTGGCATGATGCGTTGTACTACTCTATTTTGTGGCAGTGATGGTGATGATAGTGGCATGTTGCTAGGTGTTTGTTTTTATGGTGGTGCTGATTGACAATTATCACACACGATTGAGATTATGGTTGTAGTGGGATATCATTGTTGCAGGGATGACGGCGGAGGGAAGAAAAATAGATATTCGTGTAATCTCATTCTATTTACAGTCGTAGTGAATCATATGTATTGAACGATGAATGTACACAAAATATATGTTTAAACCCTCGCGAGAATAGAAATATAGATAAACTATATATATTACAAATACACAAAATTCACTCACCCTTCCACTTACTTATTAATACATGTATATAATATGACAAACCCTATCCATCTACCCACTCTTTTCTTTATCCAAAATTTTTTTTTTTTTAATTTATTTGTTATATAATGGAGTTTCATTCTTCTTGCAGAACTATTTTTGTGAGATTTTATTTTTTTTAATTTTTTTTTTAAAATTATAAAAATTAATTGTTATGGACAGTGGTGTGAACAGGGATGGAGATTAAAATTTTTTCCACTAACGAAGGTGGACAGATATTTTTAAAGTGAGTATGAGAGTAGAGACTACTCTTCCTCCCCTGCCCTCGCCCTAGTCCAGTGTCAACCCTACATGGTTGAATTAGGTTTGGTGGTTCTATGGGTATTTTGGAAATTTTAGGATAAAAACATGTTGATTTCATTTAATTGTTCTTCGTAACGAAAAGAGGTTATATGCTAGACTAATGTTATTGAAACTTAAAAATTTGATAGTGACGATAAGGTAATGATATGATTTCATTGTAACTGTCGAATTAATATTAAGTTTCAATACTTGATAGAATTCACAGTCAATTCAATAACTATAATAAATTAGGTCATCAAATTAAATCAATAAATTAGACTTTAATAACATTGTTATATATTACACATAACCAAAACCTAAGAGATCACATTGTTATTTTTCATATTTAAAGGGGATCATGTGATTTAAAGGTTAATATACATAATATTTTTAGTTCCTAAAATGTACATTTTTTTTGTCAGTTTAGTACTAATTATATTAATTTGTTCCCTTAAATATTCAATGCTAGTCTTTTTGGTCCTTCATTAGAAAATCCGTTATATTTTTTTGATGAAAGTTAAATGGTATCACGTATCCAATACGTGATCATTGTATAAAAAATTTAACGTCTGTTCATATAGAGATTAAAATAATACAAATTGAATATTTTAAAAATCAAATTGATAAATTTGATACAATAAAGACTAAATTAATAAAAAAATACATATTTTAATAATCAAACATATATTTAACCCTTGATTTAGTGCAAATTATTGTGGCATCAAAGTGGTTAAGACATATTTGTAAGGGAAATTGGTCAACAAAAGTGGGACCAAATGACTCAAGTGATAATCCTAAGGGGACCCCTAACATGCAATTAATCCACAAAAATATTGTACAATTCAAAGATTATCAGCACTTTCCTATTTATCACCCCTACTCATTGTATCCGGACGCCAATACTGATAAGGGGACCAAAAAGCTACACCTGGGCATCAACATCGCAGTTGCATCTTTCCCACGCGCCCCCACCCTCTAAGTATTCACCACTACTCACTTCCACATTACTGTAACAATTCACAGAGAGAATTCTAGAGAGAAAGATCAGCTTTTACCAGCCAAACATGCCAGAAAATTTCTTCACAGTAGTTGAAATACCTCAACAGAAGGTCTACAATGGAGTTTTCTTCCCTGCAGTCCTCTCTTCAGATCCAACGACACTCACTTCGGACGTTTCTGTTCTAACAGAGGCTATCAAGCTTCATAAGCCATGGTTGGACTCTCTTCTTCATCGTTCTGGGGCTGTTCTTTTCAGAGGTTTCCCTTTAACCACCGCTTCTGACTTCAATGACGTTGTCGAGGCCTTTGGCTACGAGGAACTGCCGTATGTCGGCGGCGCTGCGCCTCGGAACAAAGTTGTTGGCCGGGTTTTCACGACCAATGAGTCGCCTCCGGATCAGAAAATCCCTTTTCATCATGAAATGGCTCAGGTATTTTCGAATATCACATATATTTCCACTTATTAACCCTTGGATTATATTTGGAAGACAATTATCCAACGTTTTGAACTGTGGATGTCATTGTAACTCTACTTAAACTTAGAAGCTTTTGTAACAGGTGCCCGTGTACCCATCGAAGTTGTTTTTCTTCTGTGAAGTAGAACCTGCTAGTGGGGGAGAAACTCCTATAGTTCTTAGCCATATCATATATGAGAAAATGAATGAGAAGTACCCAGAGTTTGTTGAAAAATTGGAAGAGCATGGATTGATCTATACGCGAGTGCTGGGAGAAGAGGATGATAATTCATCCCCAATCGGTCGTGGGTGGAAGTCGACTTTTTTGACCCAAGACAAAACTGTGGCTGAGGAAAGGTTTGTACTTCGCTGTAATCAGTAAGAGAAATTATTTCAATTAGCAAGATTGTGTGTTTTGGTCTTTTGTTCCTCTTCGTACTAATGACCATTGAGTTACTGGTAGTGCTGCTGGTTGTACCAATCATTGAAACGCCTGCTAAAAGAAATTTCTCTAACTGAGCTAACCTTTGATCAATCTAATGTCTGTGTGTAGGACAACCTTCTTGAAACAGTTGTTTACATACGACTGTTAATATGCATGTACAGGTGTTGAATGTTGAGTCCAAATGATTTTATTTAAAGGTTTTGGCAGCAAATAAATGACAAACTTCTTAATATGTTTTGTGGTTCTTTGGACATTTAACAGGGCTGCTAAGCTAGGAGTGAAATTGGAATGGATGGAGGATGTAGTGAAAACCATAATGGGCCCAATCCCAGCAATCAAGTTTGAAAAGACGCGGCAGCGCAAGATTTGGTTCAACAGCATGGTGATTGCTTACACAGGCTGGGAAGATGCAAGAAATAATCCTGTGAAGGCAGTCACCTTTGGGGATGGAAGCCCCTTACCAGGTCATATCATATATGACTGCCTGAAAATACTTGACGAGGAAAGCGTTGCCATACCTTGGCAGCAAGGTGACATTCTGCTGGTGGATAATTTGGCAGTTTTACACTCTCGACGGTCTTTTAACCCTCCTCGCCGCATTCTAGCTTCACTCTGCAAGTAGAGGAGATGCAGGCCCTATTCCCATCTACTGGTTGTGCTTACTTGATAATCGGCCCTTCTACAACGGATAAAGAGTATGGGGTCTGCCTTATTAAAACCCTTCCTCTAAAGATGTATATGGTTTACCAAAAGAAATTTTCAGTTTTAATTGGAATGACCTTTTTTTTTCTTGCAAAATTCTGTTGCAACACAATGGTACAACTTATGTGAGTGGCTATTATTGATATTCTTATTTTTTCCAGTCTCCAAAAGTGTAAAACTTGAGACAAGCTATTGACTAACTGAGATGTAGCAACTTGGGATCAACTGGAGGTTTAGTGGGACAACATTGCCAGTTTGGACCTCTTGCATACAGTTGCAGAAAGTGTTAACTATTATGCACAAGAATATATAAACTAAATTAGCTCGGAATCAAGATGAAAGCTAGATAAGGATAGGAACTCACCAGCGACACACACTCACCTGGAATCTCTCTGCTCAAGCCCTAATTTAATATGCCAATACATGTGTTTGAAGGTGTTGGATCTTTGCATTCAAGTGCTTTACTTTGATATAATTTTGGGCAAAACATGTGTTTAAAGAAATATCTCCATGAGTTTCTTTGGATTTGATTAGATGTATATAGATTTGAGCAGATTGGAAGGTTATTCTTTATAGGAACCACCAAAGTGCGTTTGGAAATTAGTTGTCTCTTGGATGGGCCTTCGATATCCTCTGATTTTTTTTTTGTGTGCCTTTTAGTTTCTAGTTATATTCTAAACTACTATTGTTGTTTCCAGTTACAAAACAATTTGTATTTCTACATTGTTGATCTGATAATTTTGCAGACTTTAGAATCTCTCCTGACCAAGTAACCACTGTTTAGCTGGATTTTTCTAAATTGCGTGAAAATATGATGACTTTATCCCCATGTCTTTTGATGAAGATGAGTGGCTTTCTTGCTTTCAAATTCCTTTTTAAACCGAGCCTGCATCATATTTATGACTAAAGACAAACGAATTTTGAAATCTTAGATTNTACTTAGCCATATCATATATGAGAAAATGAATGAGAAGTATCCAGAGTTTGTTGAAAAATTGGAAGAGCATGGATTGATCTATACGCGAGTGCTGGGAGAAGAGGATGATAATTCATCCCCAATCGGTCGTGGGTGGAAGTCGACTTTTTTGACCCAAGACAAAACTGTGGCTGAGGAAAGGTTTGTACTTCGCTGTAATCAGTAAGAGAAATTATTTCAATTAGCAAGATTGTGTGTTTTGGTCTTTTGTTCCTCTTCGTACTAATGACCATTGAGTTACTGGTAGTGCTGCTGGTTGTACCAATCATTGAAACGCCTGCTAAAAGAAATTTCTCTAACTGAGCTAACCTTTGATCAATCTAATATCTGTGTGTAGGACAACCTTCTTGAAACAGTTGTTTACATACGACTGTTAATATGCATGTACAGGTGTTGAATGTTGAGTCCAAATGATTTTATTTAAAGGTTTTGGCAGCAAATAAATGACAAACTTCTTAATATGTTTTGTGGTTCTTTGGACATTTAACAGGGCTGCTAAGCTAGGAGTGAAATTGGAATGGATGGAGGATGTAGTGAAAACCATAATGGGCCCAATCCCAGCAATCAAGTTTGAAAAGACGCGGCAACGCAAGATTTGGTTCAACAGCATGGTGATTGCTTACACAGGCTGGGAAGATGCAAGAAATAATCCTGTGAAGGCAGTCACCTTTGGGGATGGAAGCCCCTTACCAGGTCATATCATATATGACTGCCTGAAAATACTTGACGAGGACAGCGTTGCCATACCTTGGCAGCAAGGTGACATTCTGCTGGTGGATAATTTGGCAGTTTTACACTCTCGACGGTCTTTTAACCCTCCTCGCCGCATTCTAGCTTCACTCTGCAAGTAGAGGAGATGCAGGCCCTATTCCCATCTACTGGTTGTGCTTACTTGATAATCGGCCCTTCTACAACGGATAAAGAGTATGGGGTCTGCCTTATTAAAACCCTTCCTCTAAAGATGTATATGGTTTACCAAAAGAAATTTTCAGTTTTAATTGGAATGACCTTTTTTTTTCTTGCAAAATTCTGTTGCAACACAATGGTACAACTTATGTGAGTGGCTATTATTGATATTCTTATTTTTTCCAGTCTCCAAAAGTGTAAAACTTGAGACAAGCTATTGACTAACTGAGATGTAGCAACTTGGGATCAACTGGAGGTTTAGTGGGACAACATTGCCAGTTTGGACCTCTTGCATACAGTTGCAGAAAGTGTTAACTATTATGCACAAGAATATATAAACTAAATTAGCTCGGAATCAAGATGAAAGCTAGATAAGGATAGGAACTCACCAGCGACACACACTCACCTGGAATCTCTCTGCTCAAGCCCTAATTTAATATGCCAATACATGTGTTTGAAGGTGTTGGATCTTTGCATTCAAGTGCTTTACTTTGATATAATTTTGGGCAAAACATGTGTTTAAAGAAATATCTCCATGAGTTTCTTTGGATTTGATTAGATGTATATAGATTTGAGCAGATTGGAAGGTTATTCTTTATAGGAACCACCAAAGTGCGTTTGGAAATTAGTTGTCTCTTGGATGGGCCTTCGATATCCTCTGATTTTTTTTTTGTGTGCCTTTTAGTTTCTAGTTATATTCTAAACTACTATTGTTGTTTCCAGTTACAAAACAATTTGTATTTCTACATTGTTGATCTGATAATTTTGCAGACTTTAGAATCTCTCCTGACCAAGTAACCACTGTTTAGCTGGATTTTTCTAAATTGCGTGAAAATATGATGACTTTATCCCCATGTCTTTTGATGAAGATGAGTGGCTTTCTTGCTTTCAAATTCCTTTTTAAACCGAGCCTGCATCATATTTATGACTAAAGACAAACGAATTTTGAAATCTTAGATTGCCACTATTTAGTATCAAATTTCTGCTCAAAACTGATCATGAGATGTGGGGTGGTTTTTTTGCTTCTGGTACAGGCATGAGTTATTCATAGATTCATTTGGATACATCTTCTCCCCTCTAATAACAATGTAGAAGCAGAATTCAGTCATTGTAAATGAGAATTCAAGTTCAATTGGGTTGGTCTGCTATCAACTTTAGTAAGAGTTGGTATTGTGATTGGGTTTATCATTAGATATGTCTATCATCCTTATAACATATAAAGTTTGCTTTGTGTTTTTACCTTGCACACTGATGCTTCTGTATTGTTGTCAGCTTCACTTGGATATAACATAAGTTTACCTTTTTGTTTTGCTTACAATTAGTTCCCGTTTCATAGCAGTTAAAGCCAATTGATTTGTAGCACTCAATGGAATCATGCTGGCTTAAAGGTAAGCCTATCTGCTATCTTTACTCCATAAAAACCATATGCCTTGCTCATTATTTAATCACTAATTGGTTTTAAATGTGTTTGAATGGTATAGGTCACGAAGACAATAATGGCATGATAAGAGCACAAGCATTGGGCATTTTCGTTTGGTAACCAAGCACAAGGACTAGATCAATGGGTCACTGGTTCAACCGTTGGATCATATGTCGAATTGGTCATATAATAAAAAAATAAATAATAATAAATAACTAAAACATCACAATAATTATGATAATAACAGCAAACATATAAAATTAATTAGAAAAAAATCGTCAAACATGTATCCAATGCATTTATTTTCTAATACAATTTGTACATCTAAAGTTAAGTATAAAAAAAATACCTCTATTTAACTTACAAGACTCCAAGTCCAAGTCTCCGACTATGCATCAATCATTTAATCCAAACATAATCCTTGTAATTTGTACTCTTCAATTAAATTATAATAACAATAAGCATTAAATTGTATTATTTGTTTGGTTCAAAAAATATAGTAACAAGAAGAACTACAATTGCTAAAACAAATCATAAAAATCCAAGTTACTCAAATTTGGCCCTCGTTTCAACAATTTGGCTTGAATCACACACAACTTGGATCAAAAATCACAAACCAAATTAATAGATTAGGGCATATGGCCATCAGACTGAGAACGATATGTCACAGGGAAACCACTTTCTTCTCAAACCAAATGACAAACCAAATTAGTAAATTTGACACAAAGCTTCTCAAACCACCATATGATTCCAAAATTCAACCCTATATGCCACAGGTAAACCAAAAGCTCTCATAATAGAGATAATGACGGAAAGAGAGACAGGGGGATAGAGACTGAGAGAGAAAGAGTAGTGTACCTGCTGTCAATGGTTATCGACGACTCGATGCTTCAATGGAAAGGAGCTTTGAAGCCAGCTTCATCCTTTGTTTGCTCGCGACGAGAGAGAGAGAGCAGAGATTGAGAGAAGAAACTCTAAAGAGATAAAAAGACAATGTCAATTTAGGGTAGTCGAAGAGAAGAGGACTCGCACATAATAGAGACAATTGCTGGCTCACAACGGTTGATCGATAGATGATCGATCATTGCGAAGAGAAGAGACAGAGGTTGGCTTCGACTTGGTGACCAACGTTTTTCGATCGACTTGGGTACCAGATCAGAAACTTGAGTGAGATGTGACAGACTATCGTCGAGTGTTGATTTAGGGCAAAATGCCCAAAATTCAACATTTTACACTAATATAACTGACCTGGCTGGTTTAATTCAACTCGCCCAATTTAAACGGTTCAGCGATTTTTTCACTAGTTCAACGGGTTTTAGACGGGTTTGGTGCATAAGCAATCCAAAAACTGAACCGATCCGATTTGGGCATGGGTTACTAAGATAGTAAAGTCATGAGTTAGTTTTGTTATTAAGGTAATTTTTATTATTTTGTATTTAAAGATTTTTTTATCAAAGGAATGAATATTTTGAATATTATATTAAACTTTTTTTTGAAATTTTGAAGATAGGTTATTTTCGAATTGGACCATCGAAGATTCCTCCTTCAAAATGGGTTCTTTATCTTATATTCTATTTTACTTTTATTTTCTAGATTTTCGGAAAGTGTGCAAGTAACACAGGTGGGGTGGGTGGCATTGTTTCAAAATAGCAATTACAAAGTGGTAGATTAAGGTTGTGAGGTAGTAGCTGGTTTTGGGGGGGTTTTATTTCTAGGGGAGTTTGGCGGGTGATTTGGAGGATGATGTTTGGGGAGCTTTGGTTTTGGGGTGGATTTGTATGGTGGTTTTAGTGAATGATTTTTGTATGACAAATTTGAATGACGATCTACGGGCCAACTCTTTAGTGGTTGATTGTGACATTGTTCTCAGAAAAAAAATGAAGGGTAGAGGACTGGTTCTTTGTGTCTCTCCCCTTGTTTGTATTTTATATGATAAGGGGTGAATTTGGGGACGTGACTTGAGTGTGATGGTGGCAGTGTGGTGATGGTGGTGGCGTGATGTGTTGTACTGCTCTATCCTGTGACAGTGATAGTAGCATGCTGCTAGGTGTTTGTTTGTATGGTGGCGGTGATTGACAATTATCACACAAGATTGAGATTATGGTTGTAGTGGATATCATTGCTGCAAGGATAGCAGTGGAGAGCAGAAAAACGGATAGTTGTGTAACCTCATTCTGTTTGAAGTCAGAGTGGATCATATTTATTGAACAATGAGCGTATACAAAAATATTTGTTTGAACTCGTGCGAGAATAGAAACGTAGATGGACTATATATATTATAAAAAAACAAAATCCACCCACTCTCCCACTTACTTAATACATATATACAATATCACACATCATACCCATCCACACACTTTTCTCTTTACCCAAAAAAAATATATATTTTCACTATTTTTTTTGATTTATTTGTTATATAATAGAGTTTCATTCTTCTTGTAGAACTATTTGTGAGATTTTATTTTTTTTAATTTTTTTCTTAAAATCATAAAAATTAATTGTTATGGACAGTGGCATGAACAAGGATGAATATTAAAATTTTTTCCCACTAACGAAGGTGGATGAATATTTTTGAAGCGAGTATGGATTTGTGTGGTAGTTTTAGTGAATGATTTTTGTATGACAAATTTGAATGATGATCTAGGGGTTAACTTTTTAGTGGTTGATTGTGACATTGTTCTCAGAAAAAATGAAGGCTAGAGGACCGCTTCTTTGTGTGTCTACCCTTATTTGTATTTTAGATGAATTGGGGGACGTGACTTGAGTGTGATGTTGGCAATGTAGTGGTGGTGATGGTGGTGGCGTGATGCATTGTAGAACTATGTCTTGTGGTAGTGATGGTGATGATAATGACCAGGTGCTAGGTGTTTGTTTGTATGGTGGCGATGATTGACAATTATCACGCAGGATTGAGATTATGGTTGTAGTGGGATATCATTGTTGCAAGGATGGCGGTGGAGGAAAGAAAAATAGATATTCGTGTAACCTCATTCTGTTTAAAGTCATAGTGAATTATATGTATTGAAAGATACATGTACACAAAAATATTTGTTTAAACCGGTGGGAGAATAGAAATATAGATGGACTATATATATTACAAAAACACAAAATTCACTCACCCTCCCACTTACTTATTAATACATATATATAATATCACAAACTCTATCCATCCACACACTCTTCTCTTTACCCAAAAAAAAAAAAATTACTTAATTTTTTTTTTTGATTTATTTGTTATATAATGGAGTTTCATTCTTCTTGTAGAACCATTTGTGAGATTTTATTTTTAAAATTTTTTTTCTTAAAATTATAAAAAATAATTGTTATGGACGGTGGCGTGAACAGGGATGGATATTAAAATTTTTTCCACTAACGAAGGTGGATGAATATTTTTGAAGCGAGTATGGATTCATGTGGTGGTTTTAGATGAATGATTTTTTGTATGACAAATTTGAATGATGATCTAGGGTTAACTTTTTAGTGGTTGATTGTGACATTATTCTCGAAAACATGAAGGTAAAGGGC